AGCCCATATGACCCGTGTGTTTACATGCATAAGCTACAGAATGGTGACTATATCTATTTGTTATTATATGTTTACGATATGCTCATAGCTTCCAGGAATACTTCAGCTATTAGAAAGTTGAAAAAGGAGCTGTCATCCGAATTTGAGATGAAGGATCTTGGAGAAGCAAAGAAGATATTGAGTATGGAGATCGAGAGAGACAGGGTGAAGGGGAAGTTGAAGTTGACACAGAGGAGTTACTTGCAGAAGATGATGAAGAAATTCAGTTATGATGGCAATGCCAAAGCGGTGAGTACTCCATTAGCTCCCCACTTTAAGCTATCAGCTAAGATGTCACCTGTTTCAGTTGAAGATCGTGAATACATGTCCAAAGTTCCATATGCTAATGCTGTGGGTAGCTTGATGTATGCGATGGTGTGTACAAGGCCAGATTTATCACAGGCCGTGAGCACGACCCCGGGAAGGGTCATTGGGAGGCCGTGAAGTGGATTCTACGGTATATCAAAGGTACCGTGGATGTTGGTTTGGTATTTCAGAAGAATGAGAAGACAGGGCAGGATTGTATTGGTTACGTGGATTCTGATTATGCGGGGGATCTGGACAAGCGCCGGTCTACTAGCGGATATGTGTTTCCACTAGCAGGAGCACCGGTGTGTTGGAGATGCACACTTCAGTCTACAGTGGCTCTCTCCACTACGGAGGCAGAGTATATGGCGTTGACTGAAGCTATGAAGGAGGCTTTGTGGTTGCAGGGATTATTGGAGAACTTGGGGATTGCACAGGAGTCCCTTCGGGTATATTGTGATAGCATGTCGGCTATCTATTTGGCGAAGAACCAAGTTTATCATGCACGCACGAAGCATATCGATGTCAGATTCCATTTTGTTCGTGACGTTTTGGATGAAGGAGACGTCATGTTGGAGAAGATCCACACGAAGGACAACCCTGCAGATATGTTGACCAAAGTTGTTTCAGGTGTCAAGTTTGGTCATTGTTTGGAGCTTTTGAACATTCTTTGGTGTTGAGGCCTTTCGAGACCATTTGGGTGAACTACGTTCGGCTTGATTCCTTGGGCAAGAGGATACGTAGGCAGTCATGTTTGATTCAGCCGGTTTGGATTAGTTGATGGGGTTGAGATTGTTTGGACTCTCGTTTGGGTTCTCGACTTGTTGTGGATTGAGTTCGTACTGGACACAACAAGTGGGACATTTGGTTGCTTTGGTGTCGGCTCAGTTTTGAGGAAACTTCACCGAAGTGGAGATTTGTGAACTCGTGACCAGGTGGGGGCCACAAACCCACGTGAATGAAGAAAAAAAAAGGAAGGAAAGAAGAAACCGCGTGAGAATGCCAAGGCCCACCCGATTTTGATTGCATAAATAACAAAGCACCTAGGGTTTTGAAAAAGTGGCAGAGAGGGCACGGAACATTTTTGTGCGGCTGATTTTTGTGCAACTTGGGACTTCTTTGCTGGCGGCTACGAAGAAGAGAAAGTGCAGTCCTTTTTTTGTTTCTTTTGAGAGAGATTTTGTAAGAGGGATTTGAGAGTTTGTTTGAGAGGGTTTAGAGTTTGTGAGATTGTAAACCCCAATTGTATCTCTCCCTCTAATAGTAGATCTCCCCCTCCTTGCCCCGTGGACGTAGGCTATTTGCCGAACCACGTAAAAAGTTGTGTTCTTGTCGTGATTTGTAATAGCTTGTAGGATCCCTCGACAGGTCAGTCCTAGAACTGATGAGAGGAAGAGCCGATATATCACTTGGTTGAGATATCCGCTTCAGATTCTTGTTTCCTTGGTGAGACGGGAATTCTTATCGAACTAATCTCTCTTGTTGTGCTGCCGAATTGCTGCCGAAATTTCCGCTGCGCACAACAGTCTGCAATTTAGGGGAGGAAAAAGAGCCATGCTCTTAGGTTAAATAGAAGATGTGATTTGGTGAAGGATGTTTGGATTTGGTTGGGGTGTTGCTTTCCCATTTGCACGACATAGGAGAATGTGAATGGGTATGACCCAATTCTTATCTAGGCGATACTATCGCAACTGGCATGTCTTTTCTAGTGCGCCAAGCGAAGGAGCGATAATTTCAGAAACCGCAAATGATAATGTTATATACCTTAATTGAAAAATGATTGATAATTTGTTGGGCATCAAGAACCAAATTGACCAAGTAAATCAAGCTAGCATTAATTTTTAATATTCCCATATGACATGGGACTTTGGATCATTAGGTAGAAGATGGAGAAAAAAGTATATACATTTAAATGATAATGCTGAGGTATGAACTAAAAAACATGGTCTTCTTTAACAAATATTAAGAAGTTAAATGTATATTAAGTTAACATTAATCCCTAAGATTGAGTGTAACTAAAATAGTGTTTAGGTGTAAAAGTCAAGTCTATATTAGAGTCATGGAGAGAGAAGGCAGTCTATGTGCTGAGTGGAGGTGGAGGTTGCATGTCTGCATTTTGTTAACGCTTCACGTCATGAAATGGGTCATAAGTGATTTAATCTCAAGAGGTGAAGTATAAAGTTTTGGTAATTTCTGGATGTTAATTTGAAGGGTTACCATTGTTCTGACTTTGTCTTTCTTGATTGACCCTTCTGCTTAGCAACTGAGTCCAACCCTTGATTCGGAGTATATATCTTGCTGCTTTTTCTCAAAGCTCCAAAAAAAGGAAAAAACAAAGAAAAAAGAAAAAAGGGTAAATACATCTAGCTGCTGATGTAGGAGTCCTTGAAGGCGCATTGTCGTGTGCCTTGTCTCTTGTGATTTGCTTTGTTTGGCAAGTGGATTCCAACTCTTATCTTTTGATTTTGAAGTTTATAATGAGAGGGAAAACATATAAGTTAGTAATTAGGAAATGACTGAGCATCAATCTATGAAACTGTTGTCATGTAAACGAGATCTTTATTACTAGGAGAGACTACTTGGGGGAATAATGTGTTTGCTTATTACTTTGCTCCAAATTATCATTATGTTTCACCTATTACTTTAGATGAATTAAGTAAACTACCATGCTATATGGTTTTCGGAAAGACTTTATCTTTCTTCTATTATTTTAGATGAAATCGGTAAACTCCTTTCATTTGCTGGAATGCCCAAACTTATTATACCGAATAATGAAATTTAAACTGACTACTTTATTTATGATAGGAATGTAAACTTCCTACAGAAGAATGATTGCTAAACTGGCGTTTGTTATAGGAGGAATTGAATGGCTATATAATATTTACCAAAAAAAAGGTGACAGTTGTCATGTTTTTATTTCTTTCAATCATATCATAATTAGGCTGGTTTTTTAGGACATCTGATAAGTTTTGAGTACACTTTTACCGTGAATCATCAGTCTCTTATATTTAGACCATGATTTTTGAGAATACCGTACTTAATCAAGTTCTTTATATTTCGTTTATTTTACCCAATCAAATTCATTCGAATCATCGTACATTCCTTGTAAGAACATTAGTCCAAGTACCCCTCTTGCTAATTTGTTGGTACAATGAACGATAAGAAGAAGAACAAAGAAATAGAGATATGAGAAGAAATTTTCACTAATTTTTGTTTCACAAATTTTCACTAATCCATGTTAAACTAACTATACAAATTCTGAATATTTAAAAGCTGCAAATAGCTTGTCGACTAAATTCTACAGAGTGAGAAGAACATGGGGAATATCGATGCTTGAGTACAGAGTCTAACAACACCCTATCCATAGCTTTAGTTCCTCGCCTTCTAAGCAAGGATAGAATATACTTCATGAATGCTGCATCACAAGGCAAAACGATAGGACCATCGCTTGGTAGTCCGTGCTCATCTTTAGACATCTTCAAGAGTTCGACAAAGATAGTGCTTTCAAGGAAAGCCAAAGGAACCATGAATCTCTTTGCATCGGAGGTATATATGACGAAATGGCCTTTTTCTGTAACTGATGTACTGCATGCATCAAAATCATGTTGAACTTCGTTTTTTGCAGAAGATATTTTTTTGGCTAAGGCCGAAACCTTGCGCCACTTCTTCACCATCTCAATAAGCTTCTTGGTGTTCACCATTGTGAATGTCTAGATATCACTCTGCTTGGAGAACAAATATTTCAGTTTCTAGTTTCTGGGGTTGAGTATGTGGTGAGAAGAATAGCAGTGCTGGCCATTAACTTATAGGAACGGAGAGTGGCCCCATGATAAGCTGTAGAAATTTGTATGCTATTTAGGTGAGGAAACAGAGCCATGTGCTTAGTGAAAGAGAAGATGGGATTGTATGAAAGATGTTTGGATTTGGTTGGGGTGTTGTTATCCATTGGGCTAGACGTTAAGTGTGCGGATATAAATCACTTCTTTTCTCTGATGCTTGGAAGAACTAATTGGCAAATTGCCAGATCCATTCTAATGCTCCAGGTAGAGGAAGAAAAACAATGTTTGACATACAAAATTAAACATACAAAATTGTTATCTGCAATCTGACAATGTGACACAGACGTTGCACAATTGAATCGGCAATGGAGCCCTTTTCACATTCAAAAAAAATGACTGAAACGCAACATGGAAGATAATGTGTTTGAGTGTCAAGAACTATTTTACCAAAAGTTTCAGTGAAAGGATAAAAATAAAGAATCGAGCAAAGACATAATCAACCAAAATGGTAGTTCCTGTCCACCCCAACTAAGTTTTTTTAACTTATAACATTGGAATGCAATAGACTTTAAATAAAAAACGGGAGTACACAGCGCACTCCTTTTTAGACATTTGCACACTTGAAACTTCTAACTTGGCGCTTCCTTCACTTTTATGTAACCTTCAACACTGTGAGAAAGAAGATCACTCACACATGGGTGACCCTTCAAAATTTAAACCACAATTGCATCTCACAGCGTAACCTTAAGTTTTCACCAACTAATCTCATGAAGTGAAGATTTGCAACTTCCTAAATTAAAAGTTCAATTTGGAACATGGCTTGTCTAACAGAAGAAGAATGGTGATGCTGTTTGCTGGACCCTGTACTAACCTATGTCTCATCCAATGGAAAGTAACTGCACAACCAAATCCAAACATCTTCATCGAATTTCGTCTTCCCATCTGCTAAGCACATGGCTCTGTTTCCTCTCCAAGACTGCATACCAACTTACGCAGCTGGTCATGGGGCCGATTTCTATTCATATAAGAAGAGGGCCATAGCGTCTGCTATTCTCATCACATCCCCAATCTCAGAAACTAGAAATCAAAATATTTGTTTCCAAAGCAAAGGTATATTTACATATTCAACAATGGTGAACTCCAAGAAGATTATTGAGATGGCTAAGAAATGGCAAAAGGTGGCTTCATTGGGCAAAAGTGCCTCCTCATCGCAGACCGGTGCTCAACTACATTCTGATGCTTGCAGTACATCGGTAGCAGAGAAAGGTCACTTCATTGTATATACCTCGGATTCGAAAAGGTTCATGGTTCCTTTGAGATTTCTGGGGAGTGTTATCTTTGTAGAACTCTTGAAGATGTCTGAAGATGAGCTTGGTCTACCAAGTGATGGTCCTATTCTATTGCCTTGTGACTCAATGTTCATGGAGTATGTTCTAACTTTGCTCAGAAGGCGAGGGTCAAAAGCTATGGACACGGTGTTGTTAGATACTGTTTTCAAGCACCAACGTTTCCCATGTTCTTCGCACATTATAGGGTTGAATCAACAAGCTGTTCGTAGCTTCTGAATCTTCTAATTCCTTGTAAAGAGTTACAATTTTGTAGATGAAGTTTAGATAATGGTATGTGATTAACAAATCTTTCAGCTGCCTAACGAATGAAAAATATTCAGCTTTCATCTGGAATTGATTAACATTACGCAGTAAATATTATTAGAATCGTTGTTAGAAATTCCAATTGTGAGTGCATATTTTAACTTCTACATCCTTGGAAGTTAATGCGTGAAAATGCCAAAAAGACAAAGATCACGGTAAATTTTCTTAAAGCTATCTTAAGCTTATGAGGTTTCATCCTCCGAAATAAAGCTTATTTGCTAGATTGACTATAGATATAGTAGTACGAATTAAAATGGATGGCTGCTTTTGTTGGCAGATGCAGTAATTTTTTTGCTATGGACTAATGCTGAACTTGCTGAGATTGGAGTAAAAAAAAAAAAGAAAATTGTGGAAAATAGATATGGCTTTTGTGTAGCACTGGTGATAGATTTGTTGAGAAAAAATTTAGAGTACACAACTCTATACTTACTAATATTGGACCCAAACAAGTAAACTAATCACTTGTATTATACCCACAATAAAGGACACTACAACACTTTTCAAAGATCACTCACAATTTGAAGAGAAATACAAACACTCAAAAGAAAGCTCACAACTCACTTATTTTGGTGGACACTCACACAAGCTTACACTACACTCAAGCTCACTTCTTTCCTACTTAAACAAATGAGAGACCAAGACCCCTATTTATAGTTGAGTAAGAGGGCTAGGAAGTGTGTGAAAGAATCAATCCTAACCATACATTAGTAAGAAGTTTCTAGAAGAATAAATACTAGCCATACACTTGTATCAACCTAAAAACGTCTTGGTAAATATTTTGTAGGATGTCTCTAGCTAGAAAGAAGTTCTAGAAAATTATTCTAGAACAATCTAAGCTGGTGAGAGATTCTAACACTCCCCTCATCACCATCTTTATTCGCTCTTGCAATCACTCCAAGTCATTCCTCAAAATTCTGTAAACTTAGAAGGATTCAAGCTCTTGGTCAAAATGTCCGCTACTTAGTCTTTGCTCTTGATTGGTTGCATCTGTATTTCTCCTTGTAGCACCTTTTCTCTTATGTAGTGATGATGGATCTCTATGTGCTAAGTTCATGCATGAAAAATTGGATTCTCTGCCAAACGAATTGCCGACTGATTGTTATTGTACAATGGAACTGTATAATCTACTAGTTGATGTAGATTGTTCATTAGTTGTATCAACCATGTACTCTCTTGAGCTACCATTGCTGCTGCTCGACACTCAGCTTCAGTGATAATGATATAGTCGGCTGTCTCTTACTACACCAAGAACTTGTTCCAGAACCAAGCTTAAACAAATACCCTGTTGTTGATCTTCTGGTGTCATGATCTCTTGCATAGTCAGCATCGCAGTAACCAACTAACTTGTAGTCTCCACCTTTCTTGTACAAAAGACCATAATCAATTGTACTCTTCACATATCTCAGTATACGTCGAACTGCTTTCAAATGATGCTTCTTTGGATTTTGCATGTACCGACTCATCACACTAACTGCATAAGAAATGTCAAGTCGAGTCAAGGTTAAGTAGATCAGACTGCCTACCAATTTTCGATACATTGTTGCATCTTCCAAATCTTTTCCTTCATGCGCAAACATTTTGGCATTTGGTTCCATTAGCGTCGAAATCGGCTTGCATTCAAGCATTCCGAACCTCTTCAACAAATCTTTGGAATATTTTTGCTAACAAAGAATTATTCCTTCTTGTGTGCGATCAACCTCTAGACCAAGGAAGTGCTTGAGCTGTCCAAGTTCCTTCATTTGGAAACGAACTGATAAATTTTCCTTCGTCCTAAGAATTTCAGCCTCATCATCACCGATTATGATTAAATCATCTACATATACTAGCATGATAGCTAGCTTTCCATCATTGACTTTGACAAATAACCTGGAATCTGCAAGTGTTACTGAATAACCACTTTGTGTTAGAAATTTAACAATCTTACCATACCACACACTGGGTGCTTGTTTCAAACTGAAAAGCACCTTCTATAGTTTACACACATATTTTGGATGATCTTGGCTCTGAAAACCCATTGGCTGAATGTAAAACCCCGTGAATTTTGGAAAATAATATGAATTATATTGATAAATGAGCTCTAATTATGATGAATACTATTTATGGATGAATTTTTATGCTAACAATTGATTTGAGATCAATTAAGAGTATATATAAGAGTATACAAAAGTTAAACAAGCACAAAGAAGAAATCTAAAAAATGACCAGTTAAGAGTATATCTACATTACACACTGATACAGTTCGAATCTAAAAAAACTAAAAAGATAAAAGTTGTAGTATCTTCAATAGATTTCTAACACATTTGAAATCATCTCATTCTGAGATCGGACATGAAAGTTACAGCTAAAATACCGAAGACTATTTTCCCAATCTGACTAGGTTTTCAATTTTAGGTTTGGACTATTTTGATTCGGCTTTGCAGTTATATATATACAAGTTTACACACGAAATACATCTTTTCATCAGTATTTCAAATCCTAGAAGCCCATCTTTCTCTCTCTCAAACTCTAATTATAATTTTGTGGCTCACTACCGTGCTAGCATGCGAGCAACCATTTGGTGGCTCTCCATTCGAGCCACCAAATGATGGCTCGCACCCACGCGAGCCATTAGCTTTGGTCCTTGTATTTTTGATGTGTTTTGACCGCCACAGGCTTTTCCAGTTCATTCAGTTTGGACTTGTTTCGTCGTTATGCGCATTTATTTATTTCGTTGACCTGCCCGCTTCACCGATTCGCTTTATGCGTTTCGTTAGCTTGTAGGTGGCTGACGAGTGCACGGGATACTTGGAGCTGACTGATGAGCGTGCAGGCTTGTTGTAATGTCATCAGCGATTCGTCACTTTGTTGTTTAGACGGCTCGTCATCTCGAGCTATGTTCAGGACCTATAGGTAACTTTTGACGCCTATAACAAGTCCAACTGGAAGTACGTAAAAGCCACCCTGGCAGTCGAGTCGTATCAAAATGACTCGGCCAAGACCAAGTGGCTCGCTCGGCCAAGACCGAGCCATCCCATGGTGGCTCGCACAGTTCCAAGCCACCGTAGGGTGGCTCGAGTCCAAAAATGCCGAAAACACATGTTTTGATAGTTTTCTCGAGATTCTTTCGTTCCAGAGCCTCCCCAACTATTTTAAAGCTATCCCTAAATGTGGTTAAGCGGTTATTAACTGAAGATAAGGTCAAATCAGCAATTCTTCTCTGAAAACGCTGCGTCCGAAGCCTATAAATACAAGCCTAGGGTCCTATACGTAGGGGATATGAAATTTTGGCGAGGTGTTGTCCTTGTGAAGAGTGAATCGCGAATTTCAGAGAGGCTAGTAGATCTTGGCGAAGTTCTTCAGCATAAAGAGGGAGAGTTCGAGAGATCTGAAGCTCATTCCTCTTTCCTCATGATCAAACTTGATTTTGATCTCGAGAAGAGTAGTAATCTCACTTGGTCGAGATTATTTACTTCTGCGATTGTTTCCTTTGTGAAGTAAGATAATTGAATTTTTGTTATGTCAACCGGATCTAATCCGTATCGGTCTACGGACTAACGCGTCCCCGACACAGGCAAAGATCTCACGCAAGCAGTGGGTGATAAACATGTAATAGAGTAGTCTTATAAAAAGATTAACTCTTTTAAATTTATTGTAATTGATAAACGTGTAATGGATTCAACAAATAAACTAACTTTCAACGCAGACATAGAAGATGGTTGGATTGCGACTTCAGGATGATATCGAAAGGAGGTTGGCGGAATATCACAGTGAAGCTATGCACAAGTCAATTCAAGATCCAAGATCAAGCTTCATGAGCAAATCAACTTGGTACACTAGATTAGGATTTTTATATTGTGTGTAAATGCTTTAAGTTCAATATCACACCATACACACAATTCTTGATTTTGTGTGATTTTAAAAAATATTGAGTTATTAGTTTATAGGATTTAATTTATCTTTATACATATTTTATTAAGTCTATAAAACCATTTGAAAAGATTTCAAAACATTGTTTAACTCAATAGTGAAAAATCAAGAAATTTATATACACACGTATTTACAAGTTTTGTAAAACTGAGAGATTTCATAAACGGGGAATGATATTTAGAAAATTTCTTTTGTAACATGTTCATTTATATGTTTATAAACAATTTCCCAAATTTTATATCTTTTGAAGTTTTTTTGATATTTTGAAACAAGGTTCAAAGTTGATATTTACTGTTCATTTTAGGTTCTGTGCATGTTTTGAGTCGACTTGCTACAATAATGAGTCGACTCATAAAGTATTGCACAGAAGGTGTTTTTAATCTATTGAGTCGACTGAAAAATCAATGAGTCGACTGATACAGTATATAGTCGACTCTTACCTGTGTCATAAGTCGACTAATGAAGTGTTATACAGTTAGTTGTTTCATTTGCTGAGTCGACTGACAATCCAATGAGTTAACTCATGTACACAAAAGTCGACTCATGTCTGTCATAAGTCGACTCATAATATGATCGTTGCACAATAACGGCTGGTTTCCATATTTTGTGTTTTTAATGTTTTTATTGGTTTTTGTTGGTTTCTTGGGCTGGTTTCTTCTACTCTATATATATCCCATTACATTTAACACTCAAAACCACTAAGAAAAATTTTAAACAAGTTTACAAGGGGTATTAAAGTTTGTTTAGTGTGTTTACAAGTTTTGTTTGTGAAGATATTTTCACAAGAGGAAGAAGATATCATCTTTGGTGTTTGAGCTTCAATCTCTCATCTCTCTTACTCTTGTCATCTTAGAAAAGTTTCACTAAACTCAATCCCAGCTTTACATATTTATATTTGTTATTTATCTTTTCACTAAACTAGATTTACAATTGAGCTAGGTTTTGTTATTGTTTATTATTTCACACACAACCATTGAGCTTATAGTATTATCACACATTGTGTAATTTGGGTCGTGGGTGTGATTGAGTGAGCTTACACTTAGTTCTCATCTTGTGTTAGAGAACAAACTATTTGTTATTGAGCATTCATTGTGAGATAACTTTGTAATATACTTGTACACCGAGAGGAGTGTGTGATGAGAGACATGATCGATTCCAAGAGGAGTGACGTTGGTAGTAAATCCTAGGGAGAGGTTGTAAATCGGAGCACTTGAGGAATGCGACACGGGCTAGGACAACACTTAGAGGGTGTAGAGTGTGATTGCAAGAGTGTGAGTTGTGAAAGTTTTCAGTGAGCTAGAAAACTGAGATTGTGAAGCGTAAACTTTTTCGGCTAGCGTTGAAAATTGGTTGAGATAGTAGAGCTCGCCTCGAGAATTGGGAGCAGAGACGTAGGTCAGAATGTCCGAACTCCGTGATCATTTTCTTGTGTTTGCACTGGTTATTTGCCCACTATCTTGTTTATATTGTCTCATAGTTTATATCGCCCTTTGTTTATTTGTTATCCTTGCATATGTCTCATTGTATATCATACTTGCTAGGACATTGTTAATAAATTTTTATTTGGCATTAATATCGGATTAGATTAGCATATTACCCAATTCACCACCCTGTAGTGTAACTTCAATAATGAGAGGGAAAACATATAAGTTAGTAATTAGGAAATGACTGAGCATCAATCTATGAAACTGTTGTCATGTAAACGAGATCTTTATTACTAGGAGAGACTACTTGGGGGAATAATGTGTTTGCTTATTACTTTGCTCCAAATTATCATTATGTTTCACCTATTACTTTAGATGAATTAAGTAAACTACCATGCTATATGGTTTTCGGAAAGACTTTATCTTTCTTCTATTATTTTAGATGAAATCGGTAAACTCCTTTCATTTGCTGGAATGCCCAAACTTATTATACCGAATAATGAAATTTAAACTGACTACTTTATTTATGATAGGAATGTAAACTTCCTACAGAAGAATGATTGCTAAACTGGCGTTTGTTATAGGAGGAATTGAATGGCTATATAATATTTACCAAAAATAAGGTGACAGTTGTCATGTTTTTATTTCTTTCAATCATATCATAATTAGGCTGGTTTTTTAGGACATCTGATAAGTTTTGAGTACACTTTTACCGTGAATCATCAGTCTCTTGTATTTAGACCATGATTTTTGAGAATACCGTACTTAATCAAGTTCTTTATATTTCGTTTATTTTACCCAATCAAATTCATTCGAATCATCGTACATTCCTTGTAAGAACATTAGTCCAAGTACCCCTCTTGCTAATTTGTTGGTACAATGAACGATAAGAAGAAGAACAAAGAAATAGAGATATGAGAAGAAATTTTCACTAATTTTTGTTTCACAAATTTTCACTAATCCATGTTAAACTAACTATACAAATTCTGAATATTTAAAAGCTGCAAATAGCTTGTCGACTAAATTCTACAGAGTGAGAAGAACATGGGGAATATCGATGCTTGAGTACAGAGTCTAACAACACCCTATCCATAGCTTTAGTTCCTCGCCTTCTAAGCAAGGATAGAATATACTTCATGAATGCTGCATCACAAGGCAAAACGATAGGACCATCGCTTGGTAGTCCGTGCTCATCTTTAGACATCTTCAAGAGTTCGACAAAGATAGTGCTTTCAAGGAAAGCCAAAGGAACCATGAATCTCTTTGCATCGGAGGTATATATGACGAAATGGCCTTTTTCTGTAACTGATGTACTGCATGCATCAAAATCATGTTGAACTTCGTTTTTTGCAGAAGATATTTTTTTGGCTAAGGCCGAAACCTTGCGCCACTTCTTTGCCATCTCAATAAGCTTCTTGGTGTTCACCATTGTGAATGTCTAGATATCACTCTGCTTGGAGAACAAATATTTCAGTTTCTAGTTTCTGGGGTTGAGTATGTGGTGAGAAGAATAGCAGTGCTGGCCATTAACTTATAGGAACGGAGAGTGGCCCCATGATAAGCTGTAGAAATTTGTATGCTATTTAGGTGAGGAAACAGAGCCATGTGCTTAGTGAAAGAGAAGATGGGATTGTATGAAAGATGTTTGGATTTGGTTGGGGTGTTGTTATCCATTGGGCTAGACGTTAAGTGTGCGGATATAAATCACTTCTTTTCTCTGATGCTTGGAAGAACTAATTGGCAAATTGCCAGATCCATTCTAATGCTCCAGGTAGAGGAAGAAAAACAATGTTTGACATACAAAATTAAACATACAAAATTGTTATCTGCAATCTGACAATGTGACACAGACGTTGCACAATTGAATCGGCAATGGAGCCCTTTTCACATTCAAAAAAAATGACTGAAACGCAACATGGAAGATAATGTGTTTGAGTGTCAAGAACTATTTTACCAAAAGTTTCAGTGAAAGGATAAAAATAAAGAATCGAGCAAAGACATAATCAACCAAAATGGTAGTTCCTGTCCACCCCAACTAAGTTTTTTTAACTTATAACATTGGAATGCAATAGACTTTAAATAAAAAACGGGAGTACACAGCGCACTCCTTTTTAGACATTTGCACACTTGAAACTTCTAACTTGGCGCTTCCTTCACTTTTATGTAACCTTCAACACTGTGAGAAAGAAGATCACT